AGCTGTCGCGAGCTGTCGTGAGCTGTCGTGAGCTGTCGTGAGCTGTGGCAACCGCGAGCTGCATGCTAGCGAGCTGCGACGAACATTTTGAGATGAAGTTCGATAGATATCATGTAAAGTATAGTGGATGTATTTATGTTGCTCAACCGGGACTCAACCCCTCTGATGGGTTTTTGCGCATGCGGGTGCCAAAAAAAAAAACCCTAAGCCCTAATGCAGGCTCAAGCCCTTCGATGGGCTTCCGCGAGTAAAATATTCCCTACATTTGACAACCCTAGATGCAGAAGTTTGTTCTGCCAGCTTGTGTGCACAGCTCTGACACGCATGTTTTTTGTAGAGCGAGATCGAAGCACAACTTCGTGCTTTTCCGAAGCCGATGCCGGCTCGAAAGGTCTTGAAAAGGCCGGCGGCGGCCAAAAAAAGGCCGAGCTCTGGAAAAAGTGGTAAGAGCGGCTGGGCAACTTACCGGGCGAAGGAAGAGCTTGCAAGAATACGAACTGACAACGAGCTGCGACAGCTCAAAAAAGAGAGAGCTGAGCTGCAGAGCCCGCCTCTAGGCCTCAACGCTGCTTTTATTTCTGCAGTAAAGAAAGAGGAGCTTCAGAAGGATCCCGCCGAGGAGCTTGCTGCGATTCAGAAGGATCATCCCGCCGAGGAGCTTCCTGCGATTCAGAACGTGAAGGAGGAGCTCTCCGAGGAGCTTGCTGCGATTCAGAACGGCGAGGAGGAGCTCTCCTTGCAGGACACAGCTGTACAGACTCCAAAAAACTGGGCTAAGGAGCTCTCTCGGCGAAACTTGAAGATCCTCTCGACAAGGCCTCGCTATATCAACGGCGTCTCCCCACTGGATTCTCCGCCACCTCGGCGATTTCGCCGGGCGCCGTCATTGGACCCGGCACGGTGCACATTCCGACCATGCCTACCGGGCAGCTCGGCAGGCAACCATGTCTAGAGGCCGGGCTCTGCAAATGCACAATCTTGGCATAAGAGTTTGTGCTTGGGCCATACAGGCCGGATGCTTGAAGCCGAACGGCGGCGAAGGTACGCCCTCCTCCGTCTTGAGTGCTCGGTTTTGCCTGTGCAAATGCATTGCACCATTTCGATACTCGATGAAGCGCGGTTCCACGCATCTCACTCATGCTTTTCGCAACTTTGGGCTGCTCTATGTAGAAGAGTAGAGAGCCGAGTCGAAAGCAGAGGCTGAAGCTTCGAAGGCAAGCGAAGCCCGAAGCCCCTCTTTGCAGCGATGTGCCGAAACCGCTTGCAGGGCTGTTGCTTGCCATGCATTGCGTGGGGCTGTTGCCTTGAGCCAAAGTTTGAGCCAGCAGGTTAGGGCTGAGACTTTGAGGTTGAGATTTAGGGTGGCAGGCAAGATGTAAAGTTGATAGCTTTTGCAGGTTTGGGGCTTCTAAGGATTACAGGTCTTAGGGTAGGCCTTTCAGTTGCGAGTTTAAGGCTCATAGGGATCGGGCTTACGCTGCTCCCATATACGGATGTAGACTGTCTAGGGTGTTGGTTCGAAGCTTTCCTATTTGCCGGCTTTTTCAAGTAAGTTTTTAAGTTGAGCATCTTGTGGGATTTATGTCTTGTCGCCTTTATTTAGGGTTCTCGGTTGTTCTGGGTTAAGGTGTGAGGGTCTCAAGCTTCAGGATGGTCCAAGATGGCTTGAAGGCTAATGCTAAGCTTCGTGCATCTCCGAGGCCCATAAACTACATAAAACTGCTCGCGCAAGACCCTAAAGATATACAAGCTTGGTAAAGTTTGCAATACAAGTCGTGTTCTGCGGCCCAGGCTACAATGTTTGGTTTTGGCTGGACTTCCAGCCTCTGTCTTGATGGTCGTGACCACGGTTATGCAACATATGACCATGCCATCCCTCGCTTCTGAACTGCAGCCCAGCATGACACACGACACCTTATGCACATTCTTATGTATTCTAAGGCCCTTGATGCAGTGGAAAAGTACGCTGGTGTGAAGACAATTGCGAGGGCCTTCAGGACTGATACCTTTAAGCTACGTAACACATACAGTAATACATCCCGCCAGGAAGGTGGGGCTCAGATCGGCCAGCTTCGAGATGACCGATTCTCCCTTGACTGAAGATATACTATCGGGCCTCGGCTTTGCATATGGGCTGGCTCTCACGCTGCGACTGTATCGAAATGTAGCTTGGTCAGTTATTCATGTGTGGCACGGCATTGCAAATTTGGTGCGACTGTGTTGCATGCATGTCGTGTGATATATGTGAGGCTGGGTTAGATTTCGAAGCTCCGGTATGTTCCACATGGGTCTGGGTGAACAGGCGCCGGCATCAAGAGCATTTCGAGTGATCAGCGGGTTTCGGGATAAATATAAGCAACTCGTCAGCTATGCAGGTCGACAAGTGGACGGAGCCGAGCTTTTCCTCTGGGAGATCTGAGCCGTGATCAAGTCCGTGCTGCGAGCTTCGGTTGCAATAAGTTCATGTTTCTGTTGCGGAAGCACACAAAGCAATTTTCTTGTATAGCTCATCGAGACATGTTGCTAGCATTTTGCGTCAAAGCGGAGCGCTTACTTTTGACTTGAAGCTATGGGTTCCGATGCTGGCGGCGATGTTGAAGCAAGTCTGCGGTTGTCGCAGTTGGTCGAATTTGGCAAGAAGATGGCCGCAAGCCTGCCGGAGCAAATGAAGGATGCACTGTGCACCCCCGTTGGCGAGCCGAACGCACCGCTTGTGACGGATCGCCCGAATGCCAAGAAGTCTCCCGAAACTTGGTTGACTCGCACTTAGATTCTGACGCATCGCACACAGAGCCACGCATGTCCATGCAGTTTGGGGCGAGCATCATGATCATTCGGTTGAGGTTGGAGAACCGATGGATTTTGAATCAGTTCTTGGATATGGAAGATTGGCAAGTTCGCTCACCTTCTATATACGAGGTGCAGGTGGTGCTGGAAACCTTCAATGAAAAGCTCAAGGACCCCGAGTAGATCCCATGTGCAACTCACGTGACCTTTTTTTTGGTTCGGAAGCTTGGCCGCTTGCAGAACTTGGCAATTCGGGCTGCCAAGCCTGAAGCTGCTTGGAGATGAAAATTTTAGGCCGAGCATCAGTGCAGATCGAATGCAGAGCAACGTTGCTTGACATGCAGCTGCAAACCCAGGAACTCGATGATGAGTATGTCGTCCAGGTCTCCCGTATCCGGGCTTTGTGGTCGAAGATGAGAAAGATGTGGTCGAATACTCCGGGCAACTCCCGGCACTACCACATCCAGGAGATGAAGGATAAAATGCGAAAAGCCACTTGTGGGCATCAGATGTGAGTGTGTGTGTGTGTGTGCAATCAAGTACATGTATATGTGCATTGTGTTTCATTCAGCATGTCAGGCTCCACCTGAGGGGCGGCCGGTGGCCACTCCGGTCGTTGACTGTTTGAGGGTGAGGAACCGCAGCAGCCCATCGTCGGGCAAAGAGGTTTCGAAGTCGAGGAGCCGGAGCCCCCGATCATTGCCGACGGAGTCCTCAGAGGACTCGGATGAGGCCGCAGCTGCGGGTGGTAATCGGAAGAAGAAGAGCCGAAGAGACCGAGTGTTGCAGCCTCTGGAAGGCTCGGATGAGGAGGCAGCTATGGTTCGTAATCGGAAGTGGAATCTGAAGCGCAACACCTCGTCGGAAGAGGAGTCCAGCGACTCCGAGACGATGGTGTCTGCCGGCATGCTGAGGAATTCCATGAACGGGGAGAGCATCTTCAATTTCATGTGTGGGAGCAAGCCTGTTGCCGATGGTGAAAAGCCAGCAGCTGCGGATGATGAGCCCAGTGATCGGTTTGAGCACTGGGATCCGGACGCGGACGATGCCGAGAAGGAGCACTTCACGGCCGAAAGCTTCGATTGGGATGCAGTACTTAAGGAGCACCCGGAGTATGCGATCTCCGAGGCTAGTGGCTAGCGGCTAGCGGGAGCACAGCTGCAAAGTTTGTATATGTATATATATATATACATATATGTTTTCCCCGACAGGAGGAGCCTGAAGCTGAAGCTGATCTGGATAATGAAGGCGAAAGCCATGTGGTTGAGGACAGACCCGTTCATCTTTGCCCTGCACCTGTTGAAGGATTTGACGAAGCCGTGAAGAATATTTGGGCTGATCCCCCGAAGCCTGTTCCAGTTACAGGCCTCGTGGGCTCGAAAGTTGCGTGCCATGCATGCCAGCCGAATCTTGACCTTGCAGTATCGGTAAAGGAGATGACAAGCCGAAGAAAACAGCAAAGAAGAAGATTACGAAAAGCCGCAGGCGACAGCTGCTTTTGCAGAACTTGAAGACCAAGGCCGAGCCGAACGATTCGAAGAAGCCCAAAGCTTCCCCCTCAAAGCCCGAAAAGTCCGATATCCCCGAGAAGTCCGGTGCCTCAGCCAAGAAACCTTCCCCCTCAAAGCCCGGGACAAAGCCAGCAACCGCGGGTGGCTTTTCTGCATTTTGGTTTAACCGCATGCAATATTTGATGGTATTGGTTGTGTGGGGTGTAGTCGAACGCATGATGGCAAGTCGAGGTGATTTGGAACCGCTCGGCGAGCTGATGCAAAGCTTCCTGCCGGAGTACCATGCCATGATTAATGGGCTGCCTCGAGAGCTTCAGCCGACGAGTGTCGTCCACGGCCAGCACTCCTATACTGTGTTGCTGGGCGAAAAGTTTGAAATCCTTACAGTGTGCATGCTTCATCGGTGGGAAACATGGATGATAGTTTGTGTCAAGCTGTGTGTTTGAGATGTGTTGCATGGGTCTGGGAAGTCAAACACCTGAGGCTACTGGATGGCAAGTACAAGTGCGAGGTCTTGCTTCGGCAGAAAGCATTGAAGCCCAAGGGAGTCGATCAAGAACATGCAAGATCGTTTCTAAGCTCAAGCATGATGTCACGGACGATTTGTGAATGAAAAGTGTGTGCCCATATGTTTCATGGTAAGGATCTCTTTGCGGATTGGTGTGAAGGAGGCATGGGAGCAGCTGAACCATGCTCTGGGCAGGGTGATCTCCAAGGGATCATGAGCACAAAGTGCTCCACGGGTCAGGGTGCCACAAATTGCAGTGCACTCTTCAATTTAGTTTTGGTTCTGATGGGGCATGCAGCACAGTACTCGTGTGCTTAAGCGGACGCCCTACAGATTTGAAAGCGCTATCTGTGTGCAGACGACAACAGTCTCGAGGGGGCGTTCGAGTGCAAAATCGTATGTCGGCAACGTTGCATGCTTCGTGATTCTCGAGGCACTATAGGTTTGCTATCAATAGTTCGAGCGAACCAAGGAACAAAATGGTGGCCCGCACATGTGTTTATCTTTTGGTGCTGAGCTCCCTACGATTGCCGTGGTGCATCGAGCAGCCTGCTTCTAGTTTGCTGGAAGCACACCCTCTATTCTCCTATATCTTGAAGAAGTTCACAATTTATCGGGCTGCTTGGCCTCGCAGTCATATCAACAAACACGTGCGGTCATGAGTGTACAGTCCCGACTTCTACGACCGAGGTTTACATGTTTATGGGTGCCTATGGTGGCGACAGTTGCTTGGATATATGCATGCCATGGTCGATCACAACAGACTTTTGAGCAAAGCCCAAGCCTTGAAACCCCGAGGCTTGAAGCCAACATTTATCTACAGCAACTACAAGTACATATCGGAGCTGAACATCCCGCTGCCAGACAATGTGTGCTTCTCCACGGAGCTTTGTACAAGGCTTCTTGCTACAAGGGTGCTGTGCTTTGCCGTTTGAGTGCATTCGATTCAAGGAAAGTGGCGGAAGATGGAGTCGAACGAGTCTATGGTAGCCCGAATCTGTTGAAAGCTTCGCAGCACTATCCCCCACGATTCGGCACGGCGGTGGCCGAAATGTACTTGCGACACAAGGACCCCAGCTCTCGATGCCCTCAATCAATCTCTCGGTGTCTCGCTCTCTGTCTCTCTCTCTCTCTCTCTCTTATATTCTCTGTCTCGTTCTGCTGATGTGACATCGATGCACACATGGTTTGTTTTTTTGCGAGACCGTTCATGCATGATTGAGGACGAGTTCGCTTCGTGTGTCCGAGAACGCAAGACTCTTTTATGCATCGAAGTCACGCATGCTCGATCCGTATGCATGGTGTATGTGAGTGAAGCTGAGGCACGAACTGATGCGACGTGACAAAATCGAGAAGATGAAAGCGACTTATATGGAAGTCGGCGGGGTTCTGGGCGTTTATTATGTGCATGTCATGTGGGTGTGCACATTACATAAAATATACATATATATATATATGTGTGTAATTTTATGTGTTTATGCCTGTAACACGTGTGTTAAGTACAGAAGGGAGGTGTTTTGTATTGAAAATATATATGCATGTATTGCATGTCAGGCATGGAACTAGTGCAGGTGTGTATGTATGTGTTTGTATATATATATATATCTATATATATATATATTTATTTATTTATTTATGTTGATACGTACTTGGGTGTATGGGTGTATGTGTGTGCATAAGTGTACGCACATGTATATCTTCAAGTGCTGCATGAATATGTACCTATATAAATATAAATACAAAAGCATACCTATCTATGTATGTATATATATATACGTATATGTAGACTTAGGGTGGTTGATAGGGGTCCACAGAGTCAAAGGTTTCCGGTTCAATAAAATTATATGAATATGGTATTTATATATATATATATTTATTTATTTATTTGTTTATTTACTTATAAGTATACTTAATGAAAAGTTACCTTTAGCTCTTTATCGCTTTAGCGCTTTATCGCTTTATCGCTTTAGCGCTTTATCGCTTTATCGCTTTAGCGCTTTAGCGCTTTATCGCTTTATCGCTTTATCGCTTTAGCGCTTTATCGCTTTAGCCCCCCGCGGGACTAGTTTAACTTCGGTTACCTATAGCATCTCTGTCTATATATACTTATATATCTGGTTTATATATTCCACGGAGCGGGGGCTGCCCAATATGCTGCCCACCGGGCACAACATATGTAGGTGTATATGCATGATCCACATATGTATATAGCTATCTAGCTCTATATATATAGACACATGTTGATGATACCTATAGTTTGTGTTCTGACTACATATGCATCTGTTTGCATGCATGTATATATGTTTGCATTCCCCAGTACATACAGGGATGTGGGTGTGTATATATATATATGGGTGTACGTCTGCCCTGCTGCATGTGCAAATAATCTGAGGACCCTGGTTGGGCGAAATATGCAGACTTCAAGCAAGTCTTGCGATGCCTGAATGGCCTGGACTGATTATGAGATGCAGCCGGCTGCTCGACCGTAGCTTTAGATAAGTGATGGGGTAAACAAAATCAAAGACATAGCCTTGCAATCCGTAGTTTTGCCTTCCTGGTTCGAAAACAGCGAGAAACTTTCCATGAAGTTTCAATTCCGGCCCAAAACCTACAAAAAAAAATCAATTCCTGCCCAAAACCCAAAAAGCGATAAAGCGATAAAAAAGCAATAAAACCCCGATAAAACCCCGATAAAATTATTGGGTTTATTGGATGTCAATGAATCATTAAAATCCAAGCAATAAACCCCCAAAAAACCCAAAACAAGCCAATAAAAGCAATAATTTCTTCGGCCGAAGCAGCAATCAACTTAGAAGCCAACCGTAGGAACTGGATCGGTTAGTTCGAAGGCAAGCTTGGACGAGATTTGCTCTGGGGAAAATACTTTAGAGCTTGTGTGCTGGGCCTAGGTGCAAGGCTTTGCCCCGTCATGCACTATTCAGATAGCAGCAATTCAACGAAACATGTCGATATGCGGGCTCGATCGAAGGTTTTCTGTGTTTTGCTCCCTAGAGAGCCGGATGGTGAAGAAGTTTTTATCCCCGAAGAGGAGGATGCGATCCAAGGGTCCCGTGACCACCAAGAGGTTGAAAGCTGCAGCCAAGAAATCGCCAAGCGACTCTGGTTGCAGCCGATCAGGACTCAGTTTGAAGACCCCGTCGCCCATACTGAGGAAACCTGGTGGCAGCTCGACTAAGGACCCAGGACCGCAGCGACGCCTCAGCTTCAGTGAAGCAGATGATGCTAAGAAAATCGAGACAACACCCCCGAGAAGAACCCATAAGAAAGCCGAAAGCCCGATGACAGAAAGCAAAGCGGACAAGATTTTGGCGGATCTCTCCGCCGAAAAAGCCGACGAAGAGCAAAACGAAACTTCGTCAGAGGCCTAAGCCACACTATGTGTACACACACATACACACGCACTCGTGTATATATATATATGTATATATGTGTATACGTATGTGCCCAAAGTACCTTGTAGGATGATATAGTATATACAGGAGCAGAGCGAAGACGATGTGAATGATGAGGAAACAGACGACGAAGCAAAGGACGAAGAGAGCCGAGAGAGTAAGGAAGAAGAGAGCGAAGGAGAATCCGAAGACGGTGAAGGATCAAAGGAAGAGCAGCAGGAGGAAAGCGAAGAGGAAGCCGAGGAAAGCTTGGACGAGAATTCTCAGGGAGTCAAGCAAAGCATCTCCCAAGAGGATGCCGAGGAGATGGAAGATGCAGAAGAAGAAGACGCAGAAGAGGATGAAGAGATCGATGCAGATGAAGGAGAGGAGGAGGAAGAAGAGGAAGAGGAAATGTCAACAGAAGAAGAAGGATCGGAAGAGGACGAGCAGCAGGAGGCTCGACAAAGCAAGGAGTCAGGAAAGGTTCCCAAGGCGAAGGCGCAGACGGCGACCGTGGACCAGTTCTTCAAGAAAAAGCCGAAAGAGGAGGCAACAAAGGAGGCGGAGAAGCCCGCAAAAGCGAAGAAGGATAAGGCAAAGGAAGAGGAGGAGGAGGAGGAAGCCAAGCCTAAAAAAGCGAAGAAGAACGAGGCAAAGGAAGAGGAGGAGGAAGCCAAGCCTAAAAAAGCGCAGAAGGATGAGGCAGCAAAGGAGGAGAAGCCCAAAAAAGCGAAGAAGGATAAGGCAAAGGAAGAGGAGGAGGCCAAGCCCAAAAAAGCGAAGAAGGATGAGGCAAAGGAAGAGGAGGAGGCCAAGCCCACAAAAGCAAAGAAGGATAAGGCAAAGGAAGGTGAGGAGGCCAAGCTCAAAAAAACGAAGAAGAATGAGGCAGAGGAAGAGGAGGAGGCCAAGCCCAAGAAAGCGAAGAAGGATAAGGCAAAGGAACAGGAGGAAGCCAAGCTGAAAAAAGCGAAGAAGAATGAGGCAAAGGAAGAGGAGGAGGCCAAGCCCAAAGAAGAAAAGTCAGGATCAAAAAGGAAGGGTGAAGGTTCCGCCAAAGTTGCAAAGAAGAGGAAAGGCAATGCCCCCCAGTTGGCAATCGAAGACCAGGAGGAGCGAAGCAAGCAGCCCGAGGAGAAATCCAAAGCCAAGGCTACGAAAGATGCAGGGGAGGGAAAGAGTGATGCAAAGAGTGCAAACAAAACAAAGAAGAAAGAGAAGGGAGCCAAGCAGAAGAAGAAGTTGGCCAAGGCAGAGAAGAAGTTGGAAACCATAAACTCCAGTACGCATCACACAGAATACTTGAGATACAAACGCTGGATCAAGAACCGCAAACGATTCCCCCAGGCACTTGTTGGTAGGATTGAAACGGAAGATGGAAGGGCCAATCTCTTCAGAGACTACATAGAGGCCGGGGGGAAGGTGGAGCAGATCCTCCTGAAGCACGAACAGATGCTGTGCGAGCAGCAGAGGTCGAAAATTCGCTATGGGTTTAGGTCCGAGCAGTGGATCAAGAAGACGCATGGAGATAGCAAAGCCGAACGCATCATGAAAAGGAAGGTTGACCAAGGCTTGTGACTTGTTACCAATTTGCATGCCACGAATGTGCATTCTAGATTCTGGCTGATTTCCCGTTTTTGAGATGCATGCGATTTAAGGACGATCATCGATCCGGAGTCACCGGAAGACAAGCTGTATTTCGTGTTTGTCGAGATCAATATCGATGATATCCGCGAGCTGAAACGTATAACGAAGCTGGAGTTGAGTGGAGGTGTAGATTCAGAAACTCTGGCAGCCTTCACCAAGGTTTGGCTGCTAAAGAAAATTTATGTTCTGCTTGTCTGTGTATAGTATCCATATAAACACATGTGTGCAACTTGCATCCCAGGCAGGTGGAGTCCTGGACCCAAAGGCACAGCTTGCGAGCGCAGATGGAAAGGGCAGTCAAGCGGCCATGAACAAAGCTTTGGAGCTGTCCCAGCTCAACAAGGGCACCGGAAGCAAGCAGAACAACCGAAAGAAAAACAAAGACAAGGGCAAAGAAGACGCGAAGGCCCCCCCCCCCTCCACGTAGTTGTACACCCAGCCCGTGCCCGTGCGATGTGTTTTCATGGTGGTCAGGAGGTGAAGCCCAACGAGCCGATCGAAGATGCCAAGGCGTTGCAGCATGTGGTTCTGAAAGATTGCAACACTTGCCGGCTTCTGGGTTCGCATTTATTGGTTGTGAGTTGTGTTTTGATGTATGTTTGAAATGAAAACACAACCTAAGGGAAAATGCTTTCAAGCTGGCCCCGCTGAGAATGTCGGGTCCACTTATATCACAGCTGAAGGCTGTGGAGGTGTCACTGACGGCAAAGGCCGTGTGCGGTGGTGTTCGTTTGTGAGCTGTGATATAGTCTTAATGTGTTTTGCATACAGGCCACAATTCTGCAGAAGCTGATTGCGAAGAAGAAGAACAAGAAGAAGCATTATAAACAGGTGACTGGAGAGGCTCGATTCGGGAGTGAAGTGCATGGCACGTTGTGTTGCTAGATGTTTCTGTGCATTAGGTTCAGGAGCTGCAGAAGTTGGCCAAAGAGCGAGTGGATTTGGCCAAAGCCTTGATTCGGGCTAGTGCAAAGTCATCAAAGCCGGCCTCCCCGGGGAAAGGCTCAGGGAGTAAGGGCGCGGAAGGTTCTCCTACAAAGCCGAAGTGAAGCTGCCCAAATGGGCATTATGTTTGTGGCTGCAATCCCCTGATTGCTGTTGCTTAGAAGCCGTGGGTTTTCGAGCACTGCACGCTCACGGGTTTTGATCGTTCATCACAAAGAATATTCATATAATGATTTGAACGCCGTGAGCTATAGTGCTGCTGGATGGCTGTGCAATACGCACCAGGGTAGATGGACTCAAGCCCACACGATGTTTATGGTTCCGAGCAGCGAGCACCGAGAGCTTAGCTTCAAAAATACGGTCGACAGTGTTTGTCCCACCTAAGCTACATTGTCGAACGATCGAGCTTATCCTGCCGTTGTGCTGTATTTGATTGCGCAGATCACGATCCAGATCGAGGTCGATGGGGCGAGAACACATTTTTCGATCTGTGGCTGCACTGTGTTTCTGCTTCTGTCGTTTAGATACGTTTAAAACTTGCATCGGTTCATGAGAACTCAGGAGCCGGGACGGAACTGGGCGGAAACTTGGCACAACAACATATGTTTGGGAATCCCATGATTTCGGTTTTATGCAGCTCAGGAAAGTCTATTGTTGACCATGCGAGCCATTCTGCTCGACGAATTATTCGAGAGATTTGCAAAGGGGCCGTGTCCTTACATGATTGTGTGACTCCAGTCTTAGTGTTACCGTGTCTGCGCATGAGCTATTGTGAAGTGCATGTGCCCGCCAGAAAATCTACGCAACGGATGGATGCCGGCAAGCCGGCGATTTGCTGCTGGACGGGGTGGATTGCCCCTTGGCAGAGATGTTCGCAAGCTGGAGGAAAGGAGGCCACGAAGAGAGGTCTTTTCAAAGGCTGGGGGACCGGTTTATCTCGGTATGTTCGTTTATTTCGTCAGTCTCTTCTTTAGTTTTTTCTCCGAAATTCCTTGAAGGTGGTATGCGAAATGCTCGAAAATTCCGATGGGAGAAGTTGAACTTCCGCTTCGTCTGGAGAAGCCTGGTGGTGATGTTTGTGAGACCATGCAAGCTACTGCAATTATATGGCCCTGGGATGTGTTGCACTGGTTGCATGACAGCGGGCATCTGTGTGACTGGGCTTGTAACCAAGCATCGCACTTGTCCGGCGAGTGTGCTGCAGCTTGACGTGCATTCAGTGTGTAGTCATGCTAGGTTTCTGATGTTGTTTGTCGGTGCCTGTCCATAAGAGTATTGGGGAAAGCTTTCTTCCGAAGAATCTGTTCAGTTGCTTCAACTACAAGAACCGGGGAAAACCATCCCAATCTTTTGGCACACGGATGGTGTGCGGGTTTACAAGCAGCAGAAGTGCTGGATATATTCGTATTCAAGTGCACTGAAGAAAGGACCGTCTATGCAATCCAAGCTACTATTGCTTTTGGTCAGGGAGGCTTTGGTCTGGAAGCCATTTACACACGATCGAGTTGCAGAGGTCATTGCATGGATCCAAAAAGTGTTGCAAACTGGCAAATACCCTGACAAAAACTTCATGGGGGCCCCTTGGGAAGAGGGATCTTTGCAGGCAAAAGTTGCCGGGTCGTTTTTTGCAGGTGGTTGGCGATTTGCTTTCAGTGGTTGCAAAGGCGACTGGGAGGCGAAGGTCTACATCCACAAGCTACAGAGGAGCTACAGACACGACAATATATGCGAACACTGCCTTGCGAGCAAGAAAGATGGACCTTTCTATTACAAGGATTTTTCGCCCAACGCCGGCTATTTGAACCTTCAGTTCACACATGCGCAGTTTATGATCATGACGCCTGCAGAGCAACAGTCAAAATGGCAACATGTTCCTGGGTGGACGAAAGACCGAAATTTGGAAGTTCCTTGGCTTTCCCTATAGCGGTCGAAATCTGTTTTTGTGCTCTTTAAAACTATTCTATATGTGTTGTTGTGCATATGCTGCGCAGTCTGAGGATTTGCTCCATGTCTTGCATCAAGGAATTGCCTGTTGTGTTATTCCTGCACTCGTGATTGAATGCATCGTACAATGCTGCAGGGGTGATGTGACGCTGAGCGACTTGCAGAAAAAACTGCAGACGGATGTGTGGAAACACTACAAAGCATGGTGTCGCGAGAACGCTGTCGCTGCATGTGGGCATCGCTTCAGCTTGATTCGTTTCGGAAAAGAGGCATGGAACCATGCCCCGGAATTAGCGAGCTGCTACAAAGCCTACACGGTCAAGCAAATGATATACTGGGCGCATGCGTACTTGGTGGATACGATGCCTCAGTCACGACACGACCTCACATGTGCTTCATATTCGATGGCGAAGATGCAGTTCAACATGGATATAAGCGGGCCGTTTTTCCAGGAAGACCTAAAAAAGGATACCGTTCTTATGGGCCGCAGCTTCCTTGTGTTCTATCAACGCCTTGCAGTTCAAAATGCAAACTCTGCTCGAAAGAACTTCAAAATCATTCCAAAGCACCACTCCTTTCTTCACCTTATGTTCTATGTCGACCGTACAGCCCGGAACCCGCGGAGATTTGGATCTGACTTCGCAGATATTTCGGATTGGTTTCAAAATATTCTAAATTACCATAAGAACACTCGAGATTCCAAGCCAGAAGCCTTAACTCGATCCGCCAAGGTATGAGCACTGCTATCAAGACGAAGACTTGATGAAGGAGATTGGCCGCATATGCTCCAGCTGCCACCCTGCGACTATGCATTATGTTACATGCAATCGTTACCGAGCTCTCCTCGAGTATGGAGAAGTTTTTGAAAGGAAAACTGGCTGATCGATCACGATCGATCGACTACAGATTGAGAGCATCACGAGCACCAGAGCGAAAACATGTTTTCGAGCTTAAGCTTGTTGAACCCGTTAAGCCTTCAGGCCTGCAGGTCCTGGTGTTTAGGGTTTATAGGGTTTAGGGAGCTTTGTTAAAATTTTAAGTGCAAGAGGCGTAGCCGACTTGTTTGTTTACATCTTCGATTCCTAGATGCAAAGCTTGGGTCGTAAGAAAACCCCGAACACATCTAAGAACCAAGTCCCAAAGCTCTAGTTTTTCTTCCGGAGTGAACTCAACCACATACCCTCACGATATTTACTATCTAAGTCCATCCGACTCTGTTCTGGGAAACAAAGAGCAAACCGTAACAAACCTTGGAGTGTCTGGGGTTTGGGATTGAAGTTTAGATCGAAACTCAAGTCGTGAAGTAGTGAGCCGTAAAGCCCAGAAACGAGAACTTAAACCCGAACTTAATTTCCCTTGTGCCTTGAGCTCTTTTTAAAAGCCTCCCGCTCCCAAACGAGCCGAGAACCTAAACCAAACAACCCTGGACCACTAACTCTAAACCCGTACCCGCCCTAAGGCTAAGGTTTAGGGTTTAAACCCTAGGGTTTAGGGTGTAGGGTTTAGGGTGTAGGGTTTAGGGTGTAGGGTTTATAGGGTTTAGGGTTTAGGGTTCCAAACGAACCGAGAACCTGAACCGAACAACCCTGGACCACTAACTCTAAACCCGTACCCGCCCCAAGGTTAGGGTTTAGGGTGTAGGGTTTAGGGTTGAGGGTTTAGGGCTTAGGGTTTTTTTTGTTTTTTTATTCGGCTCAAATTTGGCTCAAAAAGCTGGATGGCAAACAATGCTCCAGGCTGGATGTGTTAGCTGTCGGATCTGAATAATTAATCTGGGATGCGTGACCAAGGATCGACAGATTGGGGCCTCTTGGATTGGCTTGAGGATGCCTTGGATAAGTCAGAAGGGAACTGAGCTTGTGGGCTAGCTTTGAAGCCACAGAATATTGCTGTCGTAGACGCGCGCGCCGGGCGCGCGCATCCATGCACGCGCGCGCCGGGCGCGCGCAGCCATGCACGCGCGCGCCCGGCGCGCGCAGCTTTGCATTGCGTTATTATATTAAAACGTATAGATGCGTGTCAACCCCTGCAGTCTTTCTGGAACCCTTTATGGTTACCAAACGATTGCATGTCGTGTCGCACATGTGTGGCCGCTAAAGTTGCCAGCATCTTCAATTGGTAAAAGAGTTTGATCAATTTTTGAATATATCCTAATACGGAAGCATCCAGAGACGCGCGCCGGGCGCGCGCATCCGAAGATGCGCGCGCCCGGCGCGCGCATCCAGAGACGTGCGCGCCCGGCGCGCGCATCCATTGCCGCGCGCGCCCGGCGTGCGCAGCTTTCTGTTGTGTTTTAATTATATTTGTATTAAATGGTGTAGATCCGTATCAACCCCTGCGAGTTTGCATGGAACCTCTTGCAAGGTTCCATAGGGTTTGACTTGCTTGCAAGGGTCTATGAACAATACCAGAAATGCTTCGTGGGACTCGAATGCTTCTGTTTCCTCGGAATGCTTCGCAAGTCGATCATTCCTCACGTGTTGTGGCGTCTCATTACTTTTCGATCATTCAGGCTCTCTAGGAATAGCGTTCAGTGCTTCCTCTCGCCTCTTAGCGGCCTCCTTCTTCACGGAGTCCATAGCAGCCTGTGCGACCTTAGCGTCGTGCTCGGCTTTCTTCTTCCGAGCCTGCTCCCTAGCGATGACCTCGGCCTCAGCTCTGGCCTTGGCCTTAGCGGCATCCTGCTCTTGGCGGGCCAGGCGCCTGGTTAGCGACTGCTTCATGATCGAGCTCATAGCGTCGACCTCCTCCTGGGGGCTAGCGGCTCGGCCTCCGGCTAGCCAGAGGCGTTGGGCACCAGGATCACGTGCCGGTCTAGCGGACGGCTGGTCTGCTTCCATAGCCAGCCTAGCGTCCTCTAGCCTTGCCGCCATCTCCGCGACCTGGCCTCTAGAGAAGTGGTTAGCGAAGGCCTCAGGTAGCTCGTCCGGGCAGAACGTCACTAGCACGGGGCCATCGGCATCGTCCGTGGGCCCGCTAGCACTGCCTCCTCCTCCACTTGGGGCTCCCGACATAGCGGCCTCCGAAGTGGGAACGTGAGGGCCTGCAGGTCCTAGCGAGTGGCCCCCCCCACGGCACCCCCCGCCCCGAAGGCGATCCCCCAGCCGCATTGTAGCGTTGTTGTACATGTCTGGCACGCGTGCCCTAGCACTGCAGAGGAACCTAGCGCACACCGACAAGCA